CGCAGAGGCAGTTGCGTTTCTCAGAGCGTGGTCTCCCTGGCTAAAGCTGGTTTCTGAGAGACTGGGAGAGCCGATAGGAGGCCTAGTATTGGATCTCAGCGCATCACGAGCTAAGGGAGGACAAAAATATTGTTGTTGCTGCAAGAAGGAACCCTTTCCATACTGCTCGTCAGATCCTAAATGAAGTACAAGATGTTTTGGCAAGCCCTTTATCAACTTTATCAACACAAAGGATTCTTAATTGTTTGTGGGAAGTTGGCCTCACATCTTATCTCTCTTTGAGCGGACCTGCAGCAACAGTCCGCACCAGACTCAGGAGAATACGGTACAGCAAGCGACTAGAAGAGAAAACCAATTGGAATGCTGTACAGTGATAGCAGGCACCGAAAATTCTGCCGAGAACAGGGGATGAGTACAATGCCCGTGTCCGTGCTCCATTCAGAGCAGTTTGGAGGAGGTAGTGTAATTACCTGGGGTAGGATTTACGCTGGAGGACGAACTGGACACTATATTATTGAAGGCAACCTCACAGCCGACCGTTATGTCCGAGGAATACATCCTTCGATCCAGGGATCTCAATGGCAGGGATTTTCGATTTCTGGATCACAATTCCATACCTCATAGAGGTAGAGTTGTTCATCAGTGTTTAGAAAAGCCGGGAATTTCCATTGTGCCCCTTACCCCATTGTCTCCAGAGCTCAATCCCATAGAGCATACGTGGGATGCATTGCAGAGAAGGCTTTTCGATCACCATCCACAGCCAGTTGACTTCGAACAACTGAGTGTTGCGTTGCAACATCGATGACTGAAATCCCTTATGAAATTAGTGACAACCTTATTAAAAGTTTGGATAACAGAGGAACACAGTTTCACCTAAGATAGGGCATTCTTTAAAAAAAATTATTGTGTCCAATAAACAAAATTGTGGAATGAAAACCTTTTATTTTGTCATTTTTTAAAATCCCTTAATTAAATTTTCGTTCAGTAAAAACATAATTATTTCTAATAAATTTTAATGCAACTTATAACAAAATAAAAGAGAAATGTTAAGTAGGAAAGTAAATACTTAAAAATTGGCAATATCCAATTCATTTTTGAGCAGTTAGGCTAACTATCAATAATATAGTAACTTACCCCGTATTCTGTTCACGCCAAAAAACCTACAGAGAACATCATCTCTAAGGGTACATGGAGTAATTTTTCCATTAAGTTCAAGGAACTTTACCCCGGCATTGGTAAGACAAACTTATATACATAACGTGAAATAGCTTTTTATTTGTTTCATTAAATTATTTATTAATTGTTATTAGAATTCTTAGATTTGCAGCTAATTAGATTGTTGTTTACTATGTATTTCACATTCCCCCCATTTTTTCCCTCTTTTCGGAAGTACATATCTGAGCGTACCTTCGGAATAGGCGGAAAATTTGCAAAACAATTTGCAGTCAGGGGATGTCAAAATATGCTAAACGCCTTATTTTGAGTAGTTTTCAACGAAAGTGAAGTTTGGTTTCGAAACCTTGAGAATGGATTGGCTTGAGTGATCTACATACAGCCTAATCTCATCGTGTGCAGAACCTCAGTAATTTTCCAATTTATACTTTTTTCGCACTGATAATTTTACACGCCATCGCTTATTCCAATTGTTCCTATTTTTTAATCGTCTTTGAGAATTAAGCCAGTCGGACGACTTGGATGACAAACACGCGGGATAAGGTCGATCACGGCACCGTGAGTTAGCTGGAGTATGTGAACCGTGCCGAAGAAAGTGAAATGCAGATGTAACTTTCTCTTCGCCGGTCGACGTCACCATTATGTAAGCGGTTATGCCGGTCTTCCGCTCTGCTGTTCCAGAAGATGGAAACCCCGCCACACAAAAAAACACTGACGCATGCTTTAAAGGTTATACATCTTATTACAAGCGCCAGGAATGATCGAAGCGTTGAAAAACAAAACCTGAGCTCCAGCCAAAAAGCTTTTTAAGAGATTGTACCACCTACGTCTTAAATCAGAAAACACGTTTAAACTTTATGAAAATCTTATCCAATGGCAAAATACTCTCGTTTTATTGTATTGTTATTCAACTACGATTCTTTAAACGAATATATTGAAGGTCGTCCTGTTCCAACTGGACTTAAATTACAACCATATAACATAGTGAAACGAAGAATTTCTTTACTTCCTTTCTAGATAGCACGAGCCGTTTATAAAATCAAAAAAGGAAACTGACCGCCAGGGTCAACCTAAAAACAATCGATGCAAATCGTGGCAATATATATTTCAGCAAAATATTTTTCTACCAAGAGACAACCTAAAATTAAACTCAAAATTTAATTTAATTTTAGTATAATGAATTGAAAAATTATTTATTTAATTAATGATTATACTTATAAAAAGCAGATTAAACGTCCAAACGTCCTAAAAATAACATACCGAATATAGTAATAACGCTTTAAAGAAACATAAATGTATACAAGCATTATTAATATTAATAAAAGCACATACAAAACACAAACAAATATACAAGCATTGACTTGACATTTATTTAGCTAATTCTTGTATATATTTTTGTTCTTTGTATGTTCTTTTATTGACAAACCTGATATTTGAACGTCGTCTATCTTTTTTTTTTAATTCTTTCTTTAAAAGTTTTTTCAGAAAAACAACAATTTTTCCTACGTCAACGCTCAGATTAAATCGAGAACCTTGATTTCGTTGGCGACAATCCAGTTTGTAACTTATAAAATACATTGGCATGTTGGTTTCTTTCTCTCCCACTCCCTCACTCTCTCTCTCTCTCTCTCTCTCTCTCTCTCTCTCTCTCTCTCTCTCTCTCTCTCTCGTTCTCATTCTATCTCTTTTCTTTCTCTCTTTCTTTTTTTATTTAAGTTTTTTACTGTTTTTTTTGTACAAACGTTTAAAAAATAATATTACGGTTACGGTTTACCCACATGAGATATGTTTTTCCTTACCATTTGAATGGTGGTCTAAATGACAATTGGTGACAACATGATAAATTTTATACCCTTAAAAATCAAATATTTCAAAATCTCATCACGACAATAGAAAATAGTAAAATGAAAGAAATATAACGCGTAAAAAATGTTCTTCAAAGCTTATATTACTACCTAAGAGTAATTAAAACACACATGGCCTAATTTTGGTTTCAAATTATATTATGATCATTTTCAAAAATTGAAAACCTATATTTCTGCTAAATGTACACTGGGTCATATTGAAGCAGCGTGTTAAGTTGGAGCATTAAAGTGATGATTATCTAAATTACCTTTTTTTTTTAAATATCCGTAAGTTCGTTAATTATTAATATCTAATGGGCTTGTTTTTATTGCATTCTACTATACTCTTAATTACAATACAAATTTCTCTTTGTGTTGTGACGATCTGGAATGAAGTATATCGGAAAGAAAAATCACGTATTCTTCATTACAAAGGATTTTTGTCTGAAAGAAAACCTTAATTAATTTAAAAGAATTACGAAGGATGTAAGTGTTCTCATGTCGATTCGCTTTTTGTAATTGGTTCTTTAATATAAAATTGGATATTAATATGTAGATTTAACGTTAAAGTTAAGAAAAAATAGAAGAGAAAAGCGGGAAAGAAGGAGGGAAAGATAGATACATAGATAGATAGATAAATAGATAGGTATGGTGGGTGAGATAGAGAAAAGGAGTGGGGGAGTTGGGGAGAGAGAGAGAGAGAGAACGTGAAAATAATAAATACAGCTTTATCTTAAGACAAGTTCCTAGAATAACAGAGGGAGCAAGCGATAGATATACAGATAGATAGATAGAGATAAAGAGAGAAAAGAAAGAGAGAGAGAGAGAGATGAAAGTAAAAAATAAAATTATAAATTACAGAAATAAAACTTTAGAGTAAAATAAGTCTCGAGAAAACTCGAAAGAAAGAGTGTGATACAGTGTGACAGAGGGGAGAGGGTGAGTGTGTGTAATGAGGAATTATCATAATAAAATAATTTGTGTGTGTGTGTGAGAGAGAGAGAGAGAGAGAGAGAGAGAGAGAGAGAGAGAGATAGAGAGGAACAGAGGGAGGGTGAGAGGGATGAGGGAGGGAGAGAGAGAGTAAGGAATTGAGAAGGAGAGAGAAATTATGTAATAGCGAGAGAGTAAGAGAGCTAGAAAGACAGATAATAATGAAAGAAATAGAGAGAGAGAGAGTGAGTGAGAAAGAGTGAGACCGAGAAAAAGTGAAAGAGAGAGGAAGAGAATGACAGTAAGAGAGAGAGTTTGAGTGAGATTGAAAGAGAGAGAGAACGTGAAACTAATAAATACAACTTTATCTTTTCGGGGACCGCGGTAGCCGAGTGGTTAGCATGAGAGACTTTCACGCCGCGGTCGTGGGTTCGATTCCCACCGTCGCCTCTGGCCATTTTTTCCCGATAACCCCCAATTGGAACACACAAGAATTCGTACTATGGCTAATATGCAAGATCATAAGGCCAATAAAAAATGTTATATTTACTACGTTACTAACATAACGAATAGGTGAAATTCATACATCATGAAATTCTATTGATTAATTAAATCCACCTTCTCCTATCTGACTGATGATTGAAATGACAGCATACTTGACTAATATTATGCATAGACTAAACAGTCGTATTTATTGTCTATACCTAACTTAAGAAAGCGAGAAATGGCGATCTCATTTTTGGCCTTGCAGTAATAATGTTTTTTGTTGTTGAGATCAATAGAAGGTAGGAAATTGAGAGGAAGGGTCTTAGATTACGATCGGAGCGTGGACCTCGTGAACTGAATGAGCCTCAGGCAGGTCCCTTTACCAAGTGGTGTATTTTTATCGCCAAGGCGTGAAACAAACTATTCTCAGCTCTAAATATTTGTTTATAGCAAATTGTAAATAAAACGGCAGGCCGTTGATAGGAGGGGTGTTACGAAAGAAGACGTGGCCGGGGAGCAAGGTCGGATACGCGGTGGGGGCCGCTTTCTCCGTCCCGGCCGACGCCGAGCAGCCACTCGTATCTTTGTCGGGCCGCCTTCATCATCCGCGTCCGAAATTTCACCAACACCACCGATATGCAGGGTGTCGCGATCGTCCGGGGGTTCATTCTGGTCACGCTCGCCGTCTTCCTTGCCGGCGACCTGGCCGCCCTGATGACTCGTCTCTCAGCATCGGATGATGACCAAGAAACCGCTCAGCTGGGCCACCACTCAAACGCCCTACCTCGTGAGTACTAATTTTTTTTGCCATTTCAACAATTCGAAAATTTATAAGGGTCAATATTTTTTTATTAATTTGTGCCAAATTTTGTATAAGTTTCAATAAAATTATCCCAGCAGGTATAATTCTTTACAAATGAATGTCAAGGATTTCAGTCTCATGTCTATTAGATCAAAAAATCGTTGCGATCACTGTCTGTTCTTGAAATTTTCATTATACTCATAAAAACGTTTAAAAAATCTTTACTTAAAGTAACTAGAGTATCAATGGCTCAAACGATTCTAGTGAATAAAGCAGAATGCAATTGGTAATTTAATCACAATAAGCCTTATGTTGTATAAAAAACACAAGCCAAATAAAAGAGGCATAAACAGTCGCGAATATTAATAATACAACATTTTGCTTTATCTCTTAGACTAACATTTTTACCAAAACCATATTCACAGTTTCATCAAATATAGAGAACCAAGAGGACTAAACAAGGAGCTTAATTATATATACATTTCGTAAGTAATTTGTCATAACAATGGTGCTTGAAAGTATGGTACAAGATTTTGCTCCGTATCTATTGTTGCCTAATAGTGACGCAAACTTCACAGGAATGTTAATTATAAAATAATATTGCCTTATCCCTTAAATTAATTATCAAAACAATTACATTCAATTTAACAGAATTATTGCTAAAGCCTACATACAATTTTTTTTTCCAAATCAATAGACAGAAGGGATGAAACGAACAAATGTTGTTTTAGAAGGAGAGTCTTATGTAATATATTTTGTTAATAATGGAACAGGGCAAACAATGCTGCATGACATTATGATAGATGTTTTGGCTATCATCACCTTTTGTCGCCAAATCTTAATTATAAAATATTTTTTGACCTTGTCTCTTTAATGGATCAAAACAGTGTAAGGTTCCAGTTGACAAATTCGTTGGAAATTGTCACCAAAAATTTATTTTCACTATTTTTTTATTAATGTGACTAATTAGTCATAATAAGTGTCCCTGGAGAAAAGAACGTTTTTGAAATTTACCTATTGTCAAAATTTTGTTAAGTTTGTTAGATTAACATCTCTTAGGTGAGATAAGATTTAATTTGATTAATTTTACGAAGCCTGAAAAAATCTGAATTTTAACCTTAGCTTATAGGTGAAATTCTACCGATTTTCAACAAAACCCTCAGACACACTAACATTTAAGAAGTCGATTAAAAATTTGAGAATTTCCCTATAGATTTATTGTTGCAACTATAAAATAATCCAGTTCAGGGTCAAAAAAATTTTATACTCCTACGGTCTTGTGTGGCATTTGGGAAGGCTCTGGAAACTCTAAAGCCTCCTTCCTTTCACTGGTTAAAATATTTAATCCGATACAAGATATTTCTATCAACCACCATACAGTATTACTCATATATGGAATAAATAAAATCCATTTTCTTATAAACCTGACTAACTAGTCATAATAATACCCACAGTGTATGCAGATAATGTTTTTGAAATTTACCTATTGTCAAATATTTGTCAAATTCGTTAGAGCAATATATTATATGGTCCCGAAATCAATGTAATAATGTTTTTCAATTATATAGCAATATTATTCAGAGTCTGGTTAGATTTAGCAAAATATCTTTTCGTTGATCAAGATTTTGAAGAATCCGAGACTTCTATGAATTTACGATCTGATCCAAAGGAAATTTTCTTTTAATTTAGTTTACATATTTAATGCAAGAATTTGATAAGCAATGGAAATATAGAAAACTTTATTTTATATTAACTCTTTGTCAAAATGCATGACAGAATACTCTCCCCTCAAATTTTGTTAGTTTAGATGAAATACTCACATAACCAATTATTTTTGAAAGACAGGTATAATTTAATTAATGTTTTAAAACCTGAAAACTTTATAAAATTTGACCTTGGCATATGGCTGAAATTCTATTAATTTTCAAGAAAATTCTCCTAACATTAATCTTTGACAGGTATTTTAAAAAATTTGAAAATTTCGCTCGTTAAAACTCAAAGAATTCGTCGCAGGATCAAAATTTAATATTGAGTACACCTTCCACTATCAACGAGCCTATGAATCATTAGCATTTTTTATAAAATATTTTCATAGTAGAGATAATTTGAATACGTCTAATCGCATTTAATCTCCTGGTATAGCTCAAAAATGTTTCTTTATCTTAGCCAAAAGTGATGATTGTCCTAGGGAACCGATTGTAAACTTATCAATATTATCTGGCTTTGCTTGCCTTGTTCTGAATCATTTGAGAACTTATTCCAAGAATGAATACTTATCGCATTATCCCGATTTAAAATAGAGAAACCGAAATGTTTTCATTGGTATCATTAATTTTATCCGGTTCTTTTTATTTGTCATAAAACTCCATTAAATTGGGAGTATTATTGTCAATACTTGTTTGTCAATGTTTTGTTTTTGAACAAAAAATTTATATACAGAAATATGAAATCACTGTGAGATAGTGATACCATATTATGCCAAAACCATTTTACCAAGACTAAATGTATGATTTTGAATGACTTAAATTTCATGTACACAACAATTTTCATTGTGGTTTATGTTTGGAATTTGTGACTTATTTCTGCTTTTGACTTTTTGTTTTACTTTGTATGTCTATTGCAAAACAATCACCTCGAAATACTGAAACTATGATTATTGATGGTGATACATTAAATCTAGTGATACTACTCCTAAAACATAGGTTAATTATGATAATTATCACTCTCTGAGAGCATGTCACGGGGCCAATGTCTCTTTGGACTTGATTATTAGGTTATCAGGAAATGATGGACGTACAAAATAGAGTGGGGGTGGGGTTTAATGTGAAATATCGTGTAATTGAATCTTGTAGCATCTTTCTGCACAGACCGGAAGGTTTTGTTGAGCCCCATAAGTGTGTAAGAGTATTTTTTCTCCTAAACCTCCTGATCTGACCTATCTGGCACATGTCTAGAAACTGCTTAATATAGCGTGAGGATTTCGGTAGGAAGTGTGTGAGGTTGTTACAGTTTGGAGGACGAGTAGTGCGACAGAAGGGAAGAAGGTTAAGTGTTGTAGTGTTGAGTTTGATTCGCCATTTTTTTAACCGATTTGTCTGGAGGGTTCGGTGAACTATAGTTATCTATAGCTATCCAAGCTATATTCCTTGGATGATAGAGTAGCAGAGTCATGAAAGGATGTTATGATAATCTGTCAGGATGGGGATGGATGTAAACAGTAACGGACTGAGAACACCACCCTGAGGAATACTGTATCCACCTTGAACAAAAGAGTGATAAGATCCTGATAAGAAGTGTGTGTCAAGAGCAGAATGTCTATGAGTTTCCTGAACAAACCAAGTTGGCAGACTCGATCGAAATCCTATTTAAGATTTCCCGTGGAACATTCCTCATTCTCCCGGATAAATGTGGTTTTGAGGCCCAGAACACGCACTGTTGAAAACGAGAATGGTGGTACCTAAAGCTAACTCAGCAAACGTACCAGACTGTTAAGAATGCTCACTTTTGCTTACAAAGCCGAGGATGGATAGTCCCTTTCTGTAAAGTAACTGTCGGCCAAGGAAAACTTTTAGGATAATTGAATGTATAAAGTGTAATAATCCTTTAAGTACCAGAGCTCGATCGACGGACGGTTCGACGTTGAAGAAGACCCCCGAGTAGCCGAGTACTGTTGAACTTAACGATGACCCCTAAAACCAAATTAATCATCGAGGATTTATCAGAAGATTTGCTTATTAGGAGTATTTGCTTAAGTTTCATAAAATGGCAGTAAACTGACAGGACTGTAGAAATTCAGAAGGAGGTTATGGTTTATTAAGTTTAGACATTGGATAAACTACGGAATGGCTTCTGGAAATGAGCTTTTTGGAGAGGTCGATTTTTGTTTCCTATTTGCCCTCCAAAACAGCGAAAGGTTTTCGGGAAACTGTTAGATAAAGAAGAGTGTGGCGATCTCGTAAAGATTCTTTAAGTTGGTAGTCGTTCGATTACTCATTAAAATATTTATTATACTAGTTGTGGAAAACATATATTTTGTACCTTATTTATTGACAAACATATAGTTTGTCAATAAATAAGGTACAATTTGTGAGTAATACACACCTTAAAAAAAAAAAAAAACGATTTGGAAAAGTGTCGTAAATCTATAACAACAGTTACAAAGTTTACTGTAATATATATTACGCAAATGGAATATGTTTGAAAAATCTACATATATAATATTTTAATAAACTGCAATACATCACCAACACCACGTGCTAATAGACATCCAACTAAAAACCCCGAAAAATAAAACAGTATGTCAAATTCGAATAAAAAGCTAATAAGCTGCTTATCGTAAATGTGTATACGAAAATACATTAATTTTAATATTTAAATTCTTCATAATTGACCAAAAATTGAACTTCTATTTGGTGTATTAACATTTCTTCATATTAGGGATTTGTAGAAAAGATTTGTTGCCAAATCCATATGTGATAATTGAAACACTCAATCTTGTGATTATTTGTATATCCTTATTTTTTAAACCAAATTTATGATACGGAATGACATAAAGTTTATATAAACTTTTTTATGTAAATAATTTGTTGTCTAAATAATAATTGTGTTTTAAGTTTGAAATTTGTGACTTATTTCTGCTTTTGACTAATTTTCCTTTTGGTTAGTTTGTCTATTTGCAAAACAATCACCTCGAAATACTGAAGCAATGTTTTGAGCGAGGAGATTTTTTTTTTATATGTTCACTAAATGGATATCGTTATACGTAAATTCTCACGAAAACGTGACCTAAATACTTATTTAGTTTTATCTCTATTTAATTTAAATATTTTCAGTTGTTTTTGTTTTCGGACAGTCTTACTACCTGTTTAGATAATCTTTATGCTAATTTTATTGATTTGAAAACCGGAAGAGTTTTGCGTTTTTTACGATAAATAAAAAACCAGCAATATCGACAATTTTCAGATATTCAATGTGGGATGGATTTT